TGAATAGACCTTACCAGGGAGGCTTAAGAGTGTGACCCCCCTGTAATTGGAGCACACCCTCCGGTCTCCCTTTTTAAACAGGGGGACCACCACCCCAGTCTGCCAATCCAGGGGGACTGCCCCCGATGTCCATGAGATATTGCAGAGTTGCGTAAGCCAACACAACCCTACAACATCCAGAGCCTTGAGGAACTCCGGGCAGATCTCATCCACCCCCGGGGCTCTGCCACGAGGAGCTTTTTGACCACCTCAGCGACCTCGTCCCCAGAGATTGGAGAGCCCAACCCAAAGTCCCCAGRCTCAGCTTCCTCAACAGAAGGCATGTTGGTGGGATTGAGGAGGTCTTCGAAGTATTCCGCCCGCCGGCCCACAACGTCACGTGTTGAGGTCAGAGCACACCATCCCCACCATAAACAGTGTTGGTGCTGCACTGCTTCCCCCTCCTGAGACRCCGGATGGTGGACCAGAATCGCGTCGAAGCCATGCGGAAGTCTTTCTCCATGGCCTCTCCAAACTCCTCCCACGCCCGGGTTTTTGCCTCAGCGACAACCTGAGCCGCATGCCGCTTCGCCTGCCGGTACCCATCAGCTGCTTCTGGAGTCCCGTAGGCCAAAAAGGCCCGATAGGACTCCTTCTTCAGCTTGACAGCATCCCTCACCAAAGGTGTCCACCAACAGGTTCGAGGGTTGCCGCCACGACAGGCACCAACAACCTTGCGGCCGCAGCTCCTATAAGCCGCCTTGCCAATGGAGGTACGTAACATGGTCCATTCAGACTCGATGTCCCCCATCTCCCCCAGAACGTGTTCGAAGTTCTGCCGGAGATGGGAGTTGAAGCTCCTTCTCACAGGGGACTCCGCCAGACGTTCCCAGCAGACCCTCACTACACGTTTGGGCCTGCCAGGTCTGACCGGCTTCCTCCCCCACCACCGGAGCCAACTCACCACCAGGTAGTGGTCAGTTGACAGCTCCGCCCCTCTCTTCACCCAAGTGTCCAAGACATACGGCCGCAGATTCGATGAAACGAAGACAAAATCGATCATCGAAATGCGGCCTATGGTGTCCTGGTGCCAAGTGCACATATGGACACCCTTATGCCTGAACATGGTGTTCGTGATGGACAATCCGTGACGAGCACAGAAGTCCAACAACAGAACACCACTCGAGTTCAGATCGGGTGGGGGCCGTTCCTCCCAACCACGCCCCTCCAGGTCTCACTGTCATTACCCACGTGAGCGTTGAAGTCCCCCAGCAGAACAAGGGAGTCCCCAGGAGGGGCACCCTCCAGTACCCCCTCTAATGACTCCAAGAAGGGTGGGTAATCTGAACTGTTGTTCGGCCCGTAAGCACAGACAACAGTCAGAACCCATTCCCCCACCCTTAGGCAGAGGGAGGCTGCCCTCACATTCACCAGGGTAAACCCTAACGTACAGGCGCCAATATGGGGGGCAACAAGTATGGCCACTCCAGCCCGGCGCCTCTCACCGCAGGCAACTCCAGAGTGGAAGTACGTCCAGCCCCTCTCAAGGAGACTGGTTCCAGAACCAGAGCCATGCGTCAAGGTGAGGCCGACTATTTCTAGCCGAAACCTCTCAGCCTCGCACACTAGCTCCGGTTCCTTCCCCACCAAAGAGGTGACGTTCCACGTCCCAAGAGCCACCTTCTGCAGCCGAGGATCAGACCGCCAGGGGCTCCTCCTTTGGCCGCCGCCCATTACACACTGCACCCGACCCCTTTGGCCCCTCCTACAGGTGGTGAGCCTGTTGGAAGGGGGACCCACGTCTGCTCTTCAGGCTGAGCCCGGCCGGGCTCTGTGGGTGAAAGCCCGGCCACCAGGCGCTCACCATCGTGCCCCACCTCCAGGCCTGGCTCCAGAGGGGCGCCCCGGTGTCCCGCATCCGGGTGAGGGAACGCCAGATCCAAATTTTTTAACCATCATAAGGGGTCTTTGAGCTGCGCTTTGTCTGGTTCCTCACCTAGGACCTGTCTGCCTTGGGTTACCCTACCAAGGGCATAAAGCCCCAGACAGCATAGCTCCTAGGATCAWTGGGACACTCAAACCCCTCCACCACGATAAGGTGGCAGCCCAAGGAGAGGTAGTTGCTTCACATCCTCAACAATTGTATCTGCTCTTCATCAACAACTTCAGAGTTCCTGAGCAGTTTTGTGTTGATGTTGTTGTCATCTATGTATCTTACATTGGTAACCAGTTGCTTGGTGTTGCTAATGTCTGTGGATTCGTCCARTATTAATGAAAACACAGGACTCTTTTGCACAGCTTTGTCAACATCTTCCACAAGCACATTTGCAATAGTGTGGTGCATTTCTGACATTCCTTTTTCATTAAGGTAAATACCATATCTTGATGTTTCTGTGCTAATATTTTTGAAAGCAGGACATTCCACATCTTTCATGAATTTAACCAGATGGCAAAATTTTGCTTTGGCCATTTAGTTTTCTTCAATAAAGTAGGCAGTTTTAAGAAGCCCCTTCRTTTCATCCTCACACTTCAGCTGTGCATCTTCAATAGGTTTAGACATTACATTTTTACCTGAATCTGCCTCATGTTTTCTTTTCACCGCTGCTGTGTGAGAAACACCATCGGAGTGGCGACGCAAAGTTGATGTTTTATAGCATTCGCTAATAAAATGCACAGCACCGTACATTATACAAATTGAGCAGCTCATTTCACCTTTGTTATATTCAAGCCAGGGATATAATCTGAGCCAGCTACTTTGAAACTTATCTTTTGGCTGTTTAGTAACATTGTCGCCACTGACGTTACCTGGAGGATCCGGAGGCTTTGGGTCAGTCCCGGCGACATCAATGGTATCAGCGACGCTTCTAGCTTCGGTTCTAACTTGTGATGTTTTTTTGGGAGCAGGTTCCTCTTCAGTTGATGTAACATTAGAATTACATTTTAGCCAGTGATCCATGTTTAGGTTTCCGTCCCAAATCCCGAATCGTTGAATCCAACAACTGCGCTGTATTGTTACCCAATCAGGAAATGAAGAAGAAGAAAAAAGCGGGTGCCCGTGCGCGCCAATTTTGTTGTGGAAGTGTCCGTCTTTGTCATAAGTCCGATGTAAACGTCCACGCAAATTTTACTCTAATATTGAATGCGGGAATTTCCCGCATTATAAAAACTAAATATGCTGGAATCAATCAAATAATACTCAATACCTTTGGGTCGGGGAGGAGGTCCTTCCCCAAGTAGAGGAGTTTAAGTATCTCAGGGTCTTGTTTATGAATGAGGGAAGAATGGAGTGGGAGATCGACAGGCGGATTGGTGCTGTGTCTGCAATGACGCGGGTGTTGTACGGGTCTGTCGTGGTGAAGCGAGAGCTGAGCCAGAAGGCGAAGCTCTCAATTTACCAGTGGGTCTACGTTCCTACCCTCATCTATGGTCAGGAGCTTTGGGTAGTGACTGAAAGAAGGAGATCACAGATACAAGCAGCTGAAATGAGTTTCCTCTGCAGGGTGGCTGGGCTCTCCCTTAGAGATAGGCTGAGAAGCTCAGTCATCCAGGAGGGACTCAGAGTAGAGCCGCTGCTCCTCCACGTCCTGAGGAGCCAGTTGAGGTGGTTCATCTGGTTAGGATGCCTCCTGGACTCCTCCCTGGTGAGGTGTTCTGGACACGTCCCACTGGGAGGAGAACCAGAGGAAGACCCAGGACACACTGGAGGGACTAAGTTTCTCAGCTAGTCTGGGAACACCTTGGGATTCCCCCAGAGGAGCTGGTCCAAGTGGCTGGAGAGAGGGAAGTCTGGGTCTCTGTGCTTAGGCTGCAGCCCCCGAGACCTGACCCTGGATAAGAGGAAGAAGACGGACGGACGGAGAGTGAGGCATAAAGCCACTAAGGTTAGTTTTAGAAAAAGTGACCTGGGTTAGAGTTAGAATAGCGTACTTCTCTATTAAGTGTGTTTTTGTATACAATAGGCTTAGCTGTAAGAACAGCCGTCCCCTTTGCAAACAATGGTATGTTATTCCGATAAATTAATTTAAACTGACAGAGCTATAACAACTTCCGTGCTATGCTATTCTGACAGGGTATGCCACTTCAGCAGAACACCCGCCCAGAGCCTAGCTGTCCTCAAGCCTACTGATTGGTTGTTTGGGAAATGTGGTGTGTTTGAGGAAATGGGGAAAAATAGGTTTCTTGGTGCAGTCAAGCACTTCCTGGTCACAAAACGTTCACTAAATGCGCACCAAATGTGTAAAAATGTGCAATTATGGCAAAAATTATTCATAATTAAATCTGGTTTTATTTGGAAGTAAATAAAAAATAAAACTATATAAAAACATTACTTATATAAAGTTTGAAGTTTGTGCTGTCCAACCCTGTATGCTGCCACTTTTTTCACAGTAGCCCTTTAAATCCATCACAGCTTTGCCCGCTGCAGAGCGGGCGTCGACCTCAGAGGGTTAATGCAGGTGTGTGTACATCTTTTTAGCAGGTTGTGTGTGTAATAACTGTTATCAGGTCGTGTGTGTACTTCCTGTTAGCAGGTCGTGTGTGTCTACATCCTGTTATCAGGTCGTGTGTGTCTACTTCCTGTTATCAGGTCGTGTGTGTGTACTTCCTGTTAGCAGGTCATATGTGTACTTCCTGTTAGCAGGTCATGTGTGTTCTTCATGTTACCAGGTCATGTGTGTGTACTTCCTGTTAGCAGGTCATGTGTGTGTTCTTCATGTTAGCAGGTCATGTGTTCTTCATGTTAGCAGGTCATGTGTTCTTCATGTTAGCAGGTCATGTGTGTCTTCATGTTATCAGGTCATGTGTTCTTCATGTTAGCAGGTCATGTGTGTTCTTCATGTTAGCAGGTCATGTGTTCTTCATGTTAGCAGGTCATGTGTTCTTCATGTTAGCAGGTCATGTGTGTTCTTCATGTTAGCAGGTCATGTGTGTGTACTTCCTGTTAGCAGGTCGTGTGTTCTTCATGTTAGCAGGTCATGTGTGTGTTCTTCATGTTAGCAGGTCATGTGTGTTCTTCATGTTAGCAGGTCATGCCCTCTGTCAGCTCCATCGGACTGAACGAACAGGAGCTGCTCTTCCTCTCTCAGGCTGGATCAGGGCCTCACGCAGGTCTGCACACATGGAAGGGCATCCCGGACGTGGGTCGGGTCAGCGACATCCTCCTGTGGATCCTGGAGCATCACGGGCGCAGCGACCCATCTTCAGAGTCGGACCTGACTCGTATCCACTTCCACACGCTGGCCTACCACGTGCTGGCCACTGTGGACGGGTACTGGACCAACCAGGTGGCAGCGGTGGCAGCAGGAGCGCGGGTGGCCAGCAGTCAGGCTTGCGGCCTCCATGCTGTGGCTGTAGACAAAGTGGAGCTGAAGGCCCCGCAGGAGTTCTTCAGCTCCCACTCAGAGCCACGACAGCAGCTGACCCTGAACCCAGCAGAGCCCGTCTCTGTGTGGCACCGAGGCAACATCACCTTCCACATGACCCCGGTGCTGGTCTGCAAACACCCCCTGAGGACCGTGGGGCTCGGTGACGCCATCTCAGCAGAGGGACTGGTCTACTCAGAGTTCCAGTTTCAGCAGCACTTCTAAAGTCTGCCACTGGACCTCCTGGATCCCAGGTTCTGAACAAGTCCTGATTCAGGTCCTTCATCCCAAAGATCTGCTGTCCATCCAGCCTGATGACAACCCCCCCCACCCC